CGCAGGAGGGGAAGACCCTCTATGAGATGGATTGATTTGGTGACTGGGGTAATCGGGATGGGTGTGTCAGAGGCAGTGCGGTTGGTGCAGGATAGAGCAGAGTTTAGGGCTGTTGTGCATAGGGTCGCTAGGAGTCGGAAACGACTCGAAGGCACATAACAACAACAACAACACTGTGTATGTAGGACTGAGGAGGACTGTTGTTTACTGAAGAAAATGAAGGAACTCTTACACATAGTTGGTGAGATTGTAAAATAGTTGAACTACTCTGGAAGGCAGTTTGGCACTTCCTCCAAAAGGTGAACATAGAAATTCCATACAGCCCAGCTATTCCACTATCTGGAATATAACCCAAGAAAATGAGACCTGAGTCTCAAATGGAGACTTGTACACATGTTCATAGCAGCATTATTCATGATCGCAAGGACATAGAAACAGCCTAAATGTCCAGTCACAATCTAATAGATTGAGAAATTATGGTACATTTGCATGATGGAATACTACGCAGCAGACAGGAGCAATGATTTTGTAAATTACTACCTAACCTGAGAGGTACTGGAAAGCATTATACTGAGTGAACTAGCTCTGACCCAGAAGCACAAATATTGTATAAAACCATTACTGTAGAATGGGTATGACAATCCAAGGGAGGAGTGGGTGGAAGCAGAGGAGTGAGAATGTGCAGGGCAGAAGAGGACTAACCATGAGGTCATACAATTTGGACATGTTCTAAGGAGGGACTGATCCTTGGAGAAGGACATCATGCCTGGTAGAGTGGATGGAAAGCGCCGGAGGGGAAGGCCCTCTATGAGGTGGATTGATTCAGTGACTGGAGTAATCAGGATGGGTGTATCAGAGATAGTGTGATTGGCACAGGACAGAGAAGAGTTTAGGGCTGTTGTACATAGGATCGCTATGAGTTGCAAGTGACTAGACGACACATAACACCATACAATTTGATGGGTGGGGGGTATGAGGAAAATGTGTGGATCTGGGGTGAAAAACAATGTATTTGAATTTTGTAAATAAGCTAGTACTATAAAAGGCTAGGTCTTCACACTGGATATAAGGCCAAGTACTCAAGTTAGGGACCAGAGAAAGAGAGAGCTAAAGCAGCTTTATTAAGGGGGCTACCAGGCAGGACTCCTTGGTCTGGAGAAAGAGACAGACCAGGGAGAAACCACGCCCTAGTTGGGTTGTGGCAGATTTTTATAGTAAGGGAGGGAAGAGACGGGCATTCCATTGTAGTTTAGCCAAATGGGCGAGGAAGTTCACTCCCTTTGTTGACATGTTGATATTCTGTTATTCTCCTCCTTTGACCTTGGTCTGGGCCTGACAAAAAAGAATGTAAAATTATTCAATTTTATGAATAATTAAATAATATGAATGATTCAAACTACCTATCTTTGGGTTTGTAATGCAACTCCTGACCCACAAGATCACCAGAGAAGGTAAACAAAAGACTGAACAATCCCATGAAGAGATGTGAAATAAACACCAAGCACTGTCTTTTAAAAGCTGCACTTTTTTCATTTAAATGTTGAATGATTACTTGATCTTCCCTGGGCAATAGCCGATCCTCCAGTCTTGGAATATCGGACTCAGAAACTCATTGAGCCACTTACCACTGGTGTATTCTAAAGAAGAAGTTGTCATGCCTGTTATCCATTGTTAGGCAAGATGGCAACACAAGGACACTTAGTCATCCTGGACTGACAGGTTTGTTTATTTAGTATATATTAGATGCTACTGTGAAACAGAATGGAGTTCTGGTGACTTGTGGTAAGGAATTGCACTGTCAACTCAAAGGCTCATGGTTTAAATCCACGAGCTGTTCTGTGGGAGAAAAATGGTCATTCTCCTCCCATGCAATTTACTGCCTCTGAAAATCTGCTGGAGGGTCACCTGACTAAGAGTCAAAACAATAACAACATG